AAGCAACTAAGAAGCAGACATGCCCCAAAGAGCGGAGCCGTACGTCTGAACAAGAGGTAACCAGTCAGGAGCAGGGCCGCCAACGCCGAAGGCCAAGCGAACCGTGTCAGTGAGCTGAGCAAAGCACTGACCAGGAGGGTGGGTGCGGCCACAAGGCTGGCCTCGGCGAGCACCTGTCAGAACCTGATAGGTGCACGAAGGGTGAACAACACCTCGCTGAGGCTGACGCTGTCCTGGTCCCGAAACCTGCTGCTGCCGCTATTGCTGCTGGGGCTGCTGCAAGGGGAGGGGCTGCTGCTGCTGTTGCTGCCGCTGGGCCAGGTACCACGCCGCGGCCGGCAGACCAGAAGGTGGCTGACGAGCCCAGGCGTCGCCTCCACCGGCTGCAATAGCGGAGTCACCGGCCGCTGCACGCGACGCCTCTCCTGGTCCTGTACTCCCGTCGCCACCAGTCGGCACACCACCCCCACCACCTCCGCCGCCAACGCCTCCACCGCCGCCGCCACCTGTACCCTGACCGCCCCTCTTGCCACCTCTACCTCGAGACCGCGGAGAAGTCGTAACAGCAGCTGCGGTCACGTCAGTAGCAGCAGTGGCGAGAGAGGCTGTAAAGGTGGGCAGCTGAGGGACAGTGCACCCGTGGAATAGTGGAGGGGGCACAGCACCAGAGGCGGAGGCTACGGAGCGGAGGTTGCTCTCGACGTCCTTGAGCGCAGACTCAAGGACCTCGATAGTGAGCTCACTAGGGTGCTTCAGAAGAAGCGTGTCACGGACTGAGGCAAGGCGGTCAGGGAGGCTAGTGGCGATGAAGTAGATAGTAATCGCCATGGGGGGAGGGAGCAGTGCAAGCTGTGCCTCAGTGCAAGCAGCGCGGTAGCTAGAATCAAGTGAGCGGAGGTGAGCAATCAAGTCAGCAGAGCGCTCAAACGAGGCGAGGTCAGGGAACAGGAACGGTAGGAAGAGTCGGCCAAGAGAGACAGTGGTGGGAGTAGCGTAGCGGGCCTTAATCGCAGTCAGGAACTCACTAGCAGTGCGAACCTGAGTGAAGTGGGTCTCCTCAGACTCAGGGAGGAGGCTACTAAGAGCGATGCAGGCCGCAGCGTCACGCGACTTCCACGCCGTCAGATCAGCACGCTGGCGGGTGAAGCGGACCCTGGCTGCGTCGTCAGGGGCAGTGCCTAAAGGCGTAGGGTCGTTGGGCGCTGGAAGGTCACCAGTAGTGTGCGCCCAAAGGGACTCGCCCGCCTGAACCTGACTCTCTAAGAGGCGACGCGCGCGTAGGAGCTAGACTGGGAACTCGAGCGGTCTACCGTCAGCGTCGAAGCGAAGAACCCTAGGAGTCGCCATAGTGGAAGTAGAGGCGACAAATCGAGCGGTGGGTGGCACCGGTAGGGACAGTAGGCGGCTAGGGCAAGCCCGTGACGGGAGCAAAACGCGGGCGCAACGGGGCTAGGGGCGGTCCCGCGGCGGACTGAACGTGTAGGCGCAGCGGTGCGAAGGAAGGGCCTAACGAGCTGGTCCGTAGCGGACCTAACGAGGAGGCGCGGCGGCTGGCTGAACGGGCAGGCGCGGCGGCTGTAAGGGAGGGCCTACGGCGGCTGTAAGGGAGGGCCCGCGGCTGGCCTAAATAGCAGGCGCGGCGGCTGTAAGGGAGGGCCCGCAGCTGCTGTAAGGGAGGGCCCGCGGTGGGCCTAACTAGTAGGCGCGGCGACGGGCGGTACGGGCAGGCGCGGCGACGAAACTAGGGCGCCGCGACGACAAAAAGCGGGGCGCCGCGGCGACGAAACGTGGGGCGCCGCGGCGACGAAACGCGGGGCGCCGCGGCGACGAAACGCGGGGCCCCGCGGTGACGAAATGCGGGCGCCGCGGTGACGAGACGGGGGGCGCCGCGGCGACTAAACGCGGGTGCCGCGGCGACGAAACACAGGCGTTTAGGGCAGCGGGGGGAGGACGCAACGCGAGCGGGGGAGGGCGTGATGGGATGAGAAGCCGGGGAGAGCACGACGTGACGGGCAGGAGGGGAGAAGGCGCTACGCTACGCAGAAAGCGGATCAGCGGAGCGAGCGCTAACGAACGAGCGAGACTGGATCGGGCCGGCGCTAACGAACGAGCGTGACTGGATCGGGCAGGCGCTAACGAACGAGCGAGACTGGATCGGGCCGGCACTAGGCTCGGGCAAGACGGGTACGACTAGTACGAGAGAGCAAGACAGGCTCGGGCGGAACGAACGAGGACGAGAGGTGCGGGATCCCACAGGATCCTAACCTAGGTGATACCATGTCAAGAACGAAAGAGTGTGTTCATTGATGTGGGTTGGGGTACATATAACAAACCCTAACATCTGTACCCCCTAAGACAAACCTCACTACAGGCTACAACATTTGACATGTAGGCCTTGTTTTGCAAGGTAGGCCTTGTTTTGCAAGGTAGGCCTTGTTTTGCAAGGTAGGCCTTGTTTTGCAAGGTAGGCCTTGTTTTGCAAGGTAGGCCTTGTTTTTCAAGGTAGTATCAGAATCCCAACCACTAGACCATTGGGATAAAATGGCTTGTTAAGTAGCGGGTCAGTGCGCCCATAACCCCCCAGGACAACGAGCCTGTAACCCTTCCCTAGGATCAATCGGGGATCGCCAGTGGACCTCTGACACCCCCCCGCACTGGGATGCCCGAAGTGCACACACTGGGATTCGAACCCGAGACCTTCGCTCTGATACCATGCCAGAATCCCAACCACTAGACCATTGGGATAAAAGGGCTTGTTAAGTAACGGGTCAGTGCGCCCATAACCCCCCAGGACAACGAGCCTGTAACCCTTCCCTAGGATCAATCGGGGATCACTAGTGTGTCAAACATATGTTTATATGTTATAGTTTAGGTAGGTTTTAGTGGGGTACTCACTGTGGGGTACAACCCCTTAGGTTTTCATTTTGTACCAACTCTCTCGATAGTCCACTATCTTTTCCTTTACTTACGACATGGTATTAAGAGCGACATAGGTCCCTAGGACCGTTTTAGGACTTTTTTTTCGGGCCCACCAACCGTTTTCCGCCGGTTACCGAGTTACCCCGCCCCTTGCCTACACTGCCCTACGTCGCGCAGCCCTCGCGCTCGCCTCTGCTGGCTCTCGTACAGCCCGCTAGCAGCCCGCCTGCTGCCTCGTCAGCCCCACGCGTAGCCCGCTAGCTGCCCTGTCAGGCCCGCGCACCGCCCCGCAGCCCCCGCGCTGCCTTCTCCTGCCCCGCGCGTAGCTTCGCAGCCCTCGAGATGCTTTCTACGGCCGCCGACGCAGCCTCGCCCTGCCACGGTCGTGGCCCCACCCTGCCGCCGACGCGGCCCCGCCTGCGCGCTGCCCCCCCCCCCCCCCCCCCCGTCGCCAGTCGCGGCGCCTGTGGGACCCGCGCGCTGCCCTGCACCAGCTACGCCGCCCCTGGTGCAGCCGCCCCTGGACCCTCGAGAAGCCGCCCCTGGACCCAGAGCAGCCGCCCCTGGCCCCTGAAGCAGCCACCCCTGGTGCAGCCGCCCCTGGACCCTCGAGCAGCCGCCCCTGGACCCAGAGCAGCCGCCCCTGGCCCCTGCAGCAGCCGCCCCTGGAGCAGCCGTCCCTGGACCCAGAGCAGCCGCCCCTGGCCCCTGCAGCAGCCGTCCCTCGAGCAGCCGCCCCTGGACCCAGAGCAGCTGCCCCTGGCCCCTGCAGTAGCCGCCCCTGGAGCAGCCGCCCCTGGACCCCGAGCAGCCGCCCCTGGCCCCTGAAGCAGCCGCCCCTGGTCCAGCCGCCCCTGGACCCAGAGCAGCCGCCCTTGGCCTCTGAAGCAGCCACCCCTGGTGCAGCCGCCCCTGGCCCCTGCAGCAGCCGCCCCTGGAGCAGCCGCCCCTGGAGCAGCCGCCCCTGGACCCTGAGCAGCCGCCCCTGGCCCCTGCAGTAGCCGCCCCTGGTCCAGCCGCCCCTGGACCCAGAGCAGCCGCCCCTAGCCCCTGAAGCAGCCGCCCCTGGTGCAGCCGCCCCTGGACCCTCGAGCAGCCGCCCCTGGACCCAGAGTAGCCGCCCCTGGCCCCTGGTGCAGCCGCCCCTGGACCCTCGAGCAGCCGCCCCTGGACCCAGAGCAGCCGCCCCTGGCCCCTGAAGCAGCCGCCCCTGGTGCAGCCGCCCCTGGATCCCGCGACGCCGCCCCTGGACCCGCGACGCCGCCCCTGGACCCCGTGCAGCCGCCCGCCGAGCGCCGGCCCTGCTCGCCCGGCGAGCGCCTGCTCTTCCCGCCACTGGTGAGCACCTGCCTTGTTAGCGCGCTGCCGCACCATCTGCCTGCCTGCCTGCCTGCCAGCCTGCCTGCCTTCCTGCCAGCCTGCCTGCCTGCCTGCCTGCATGCCTGCCTGTCTGCCTGCCTGCCTGCCTGCCTGCCTGACTGCCTGCCTGCCTGCCTGCCAGCCTGCCTGCCTGCCAGCCTGCCTGCCTGCCTGCCTGCCTGTCTACCTGCCTGTCGCGCCTGCTCTGCTAGGCTACTGCTACTGGTACTGGCGGTGGCCAGATGCAGCTCCAGCGACGTCCGCGCGAGTCTCTCACGCCCCAACAGCTTCGTGAGTGGTACGCTAGTTGGGGTTGTGGCGGTAGTCGTCGTAGCTCTCGCCCTAGAGCTGGTCAGTTGGGAGCGTCTAGCAGTGGCCAGCTGCAGCTGCAGCGGCGTCCACGCGAGACACTTACGTCCCAGCAGCTTCACGAGTGGTACGCTCAGAGTAGGGGGTCTTTGAGTACCGTTCGCTGCCCGTACGTCATTCGCACAGGTGATCGGACGGGTCAGACTTGCGGGACGCTTAGTCACACCCAGTCCCGCTGCTTCGCCTGTCTGAGTGACGCCTTGCGTACCGAGTTTGGCGACGAGGCTGAGCTCCCCGACTGGGTAGAGCTGATTGGGCAGAGGGTAGATATCTTTGCTCTTGACTATGATGCTATTCTCACTGCCATGTATGCATTGCCTACTAGTGCTGACAGTACCTGTTACCTGTGCGCCATGCCTGACCCAGGTATAGAGCCTGCTGCCCTCGGTGCTGGTGAGGCTGCTGCTCTAGGTGCTAGTGCGTCTCCTGCTCTGGTTGTTGGTGAGGCTGCTGCTCCAGGTGCTGGTGAGTCTGCTGTCTTTGGTACTACGCCTGCTGAGGCCTTGTACACCTTCACACTTGACTCAGGTGCTTCCCGCTCCTTCTTTCGCGACAGCATCACCCTCACGCCGCTCAGCCGGCCGGTTCCAGTATCCCTGGCAGACCCCTCTGGGGGGTCCAGTCCTTGCGCGCTCCTCCACGGTCCTGCCGTGTCCGGTGGTCCCGTCTGGCTCCCTGTCAGGTCTTCACCTCCCCTCGTTCTCTACGAACTTGGTGAGTGGTGCTGACCTCCAGGACCAGTGGGTTGACCAGTTCACTCCTGGAGGTCAGCGCGTGACCCACTGAACGTGCTCCCGGACGGGCCGGCACCTGGCCACGTTTACCCGTGCGCCTGGCTCGAGTTTGTACACACTGACTACTGAGTCCCCTCAGGTCGTTGCGTCTGCGTCTGCGTCAGGTCAGCTAGCGGCCCCCTGCTCGTGTCGCGCTTTCTCGCACCAGACCCTCCTTTGGCACCACCGCCTTGGTCACCCCTCGGTGCAGCGCCTTCGTAGCATGCACCGCCGTGTCCTTGTCTCTGGTCTTCCCAGGGTTCTCCCTCCCCTCCCACCCTCGCCTGCTCCTCCCTGTCTTCCCTGTGTTGAGGGGCGGCAGCGCGCCGCTCCTCACTCCTCCTCGTTCCCTCCCACAGAGGCTCCCCTGCAGACTCTCCACCTGGACGTGTGGGGCCCAGTCCGCGTCCGTGGACAGGGCCACGAGCGGTACTTCCTGCTGGTCGTCGACGACTACACGCGTTACACCACGGTCTTCCCCTTGCGCACCAAGGGTGAGGTCCCTGATGTTTTGATCCCTTGGATCCGCGCTGCTCGTCTCCAGCTCCGCGAGCGGTTCGGGACTTATTTTCTCGTCCTGCGTCTGCACTCTGACAGAGGTGGGGAGTTTTCCTCCGACCTCTTGGCAGCCTTCTGTGCGGAGCATGGCATCCGCCAGACTTTCACGCTTCCGGCCTCTCCGCAGCAGAATGGGGTTGCTGAGCGTCGCATTGGCTTAGTCATGGAGGTCGCTCGTACCTCCATGATCCATGCGGCTGCCCCCCATTTTCTGTGGCCGTTTGCGGTCCGGTACGCCGCGCATCAGCTCAACCTCTGGCCCCATGTCTCCTTGCCGGAGACCTCGCCCACACTGCTGTGGACGGGGAAGGTTGGCGATGCGTCACGTTTCCGGGTCTGGGGTGATCGTGCCTTTGTCCGCGATACCACCGCGGACAAGCTCTCCGCCCGCACTGTTCCCTGTGTTTTCCTTGGCTTTGTCCCTGACGCGCCTGGTTGGCAGTTTTACCACCCCACCTCGCGCCGTGTCTTCCCCTCTCAGGATGTCACGTTCGACGAGTCGGTTCCCTTTTACCGTCTCTTCCCCTACCGCACTGCCCCTCTCCCCCCCCCGCCGCTCTTCCTCGCTCCAGGTGCTCCCCAGGTAGACCCCCTCCCCGCTCCCGGTCCTGCTCCTTCAGGTGTGTCTCAGGTAGACCCTCCTCCCTTGACTTCGCCGGTTGAGGTCACTGGTGACTCAGGTCCTGCTGAGGGTGGTCCTGCTCGGGGTGCTGCTTCTGGGGGTGCTGAGCCTGGGGGTGCGGAGCCTAGGGGTGCTGAGCCTGGGAATGCTGAGCCTGGGCGTGAGGAGTCTCGGGGTGCTGAGCCTGGGGGTACTGAGCCTGGGGGTACTGCACCTGGGGGCGCTGAGGCGTCTGGTGAGCAGTCTCCCTGGAGCGGTTGTCTCCGTAGTCGCTCCGCTGGTACCTCGCCGCTGCACTCTCGTCGTCGACTCCCTCTCTCTCCACAGCAGCTGCGTGAGTGGTACGTTGGCCGTCAGGGTCGCACTGCTGGAGCTAGAAGCCCTGCTGCGGGAGGCGCTGGAGCTGGTGACTCTGCTACTGGAGTTGTTGCTGCTAGAGGTTCTGGAGCTGCTGAGGGTGCTGGAGCTAGAGGTTGTAGAGCTGCTGAGGGTGCTGGCGCTGGAGGTTCTGGAGCTGCTGCGGGTGCTGGCACTGAGGGTTCTGAGTCTGCTGTTGCACGGTCTCCTTGGAGTAGCCGCCTTCGTCTGCGTGTGCCTCTCACCTCACAGCAGCTGCACGACTGGTACGGTCGCCGTCAGGGTCGCGCTTCTGGAGCTCGGGGCTCTGCCGCTGGAGGTACTTCTGCTGACGTCACTGGAGCTGGGAGTGGTATTGGTCCCGGAGGTGCTCGTACTGGAGGTACTGGAGCTGCTGGGGCTGGAGGTGCTGAGCTTGGGGGTGCTGCTGCTGGTGGAGCTGGTCCTGGAGGAGCTGGAGCTGAGGGTTCTGGAGCTGCTGGAGGTACTGGGACTGCTGGGGGTCCTGGAGCTGCTGATGCTGGTAGCACTGCACATCCGCGCCTGTTCTTTGCTCCACCGTCTCCGTCGTCTCAGCCACCGTCTGACTCTGTGCTTCGCTAGGTTCTTAGTCTCCCTTCGTCTACTGGTCTTCCGTTACAGCCTGGCTCACCGCTGCCTGCTCCTTCTCCTTACTCTGAGCAGACAGGGGGTCTTACTGAGCGTCGTGAGCCTGCGTCGCGTCCTGTCTCACCTGTCCGTTCTGGTCGTTCCGGTCATAGTGTTCCTTGTTCGTGTCAGCCGGCTGTCCCCGGCACCCACCTTGTAGTCCGTCGTCCTTCCTCTCCTCCGCAGAGTGTTCCCCTGCCGTCCCCTCCTACGTCTTCTCTGCCTACCGTTCCTAAGCCTGAGTCTGACCACGCTCGTGCTGCTCACCCTACTGTCACGCGTCTGCTAGCCACAGCTGTCACTGACCCGTCGTTTGAGTCTGCTGCTGCGTTTGCCTTAGTCGCTGAGCTTGTTGACTTTGCTGCTGCCTGTCGTCTAGACTACGCCGCTAGTCTTGTTGCTGAGTCTGCGTCTGTCTGTCCTCCGTCCGTCGGGGGTGAGTGTGCTCGTGGCACGGACGTCCTTGAGGACAGGCAGGAGGACCTTGAGTGTCTTGCAGCCGCTGCGCCTCATCTCGTGTCCACGCTGCTTGCCCCTGAGGGAGAACCGGATGCTCCAGACATCCCGACCCCGCGCTCTTACGCAGAGGCGATTACGGGTCCTTACTCCTCTCGGTGGCAGACAGCCATGGACGCAGAGATGGCATCCTGGAAGTCCACATGCACCTACGTCGACGAGGTTCCCCCTCCTGGGGCGAACATCGTCAGTGGCATGTGGATTTTCAGGGTGAAGCGGCCGCCATGTTCTCCGCCTGTCTTCAAGGCTCGTTACGTTGCTCGAGGTTTCAGTCAGCGAGAGGGAGTTGACTTCTTCCAGACCTTCTCCCCCACCCCGAAGATGACCACTCTTTGGGTGCTGCTGCACGTTGCCGCTCAGCGTGACTAAGAGCTTCACTCTCTTGACTTCAGCACAGCTTTCTTGCAGGGCAGCATGCACGAGGAGATCTGGCTGCGCCGCCCGCCTGGCTTCACTGGGTCGTTCCCTCCTGGTACCCAGTGGAGCCTCCGGCGGCCGGTCTACGGTCTCCGCCAGGCGCCACGTGAGTGGCACGACACACTGAGGACGACACTTGCGGCTCTTGGGTTTGCTCCGTCGACTGCTGACCCGTCGCTGTTTCTGCGCACCGACACTTCGCTGCCGCCGTTTTACATCCTCGTGTACGTCGACGACTTGGTCTTTGCCACTGCTGACACTGAGGCTCTCGCCCTGGTGAAGTCGGAGTTGCAGAAGAGACACACGTGCACAGACCTGGGTGAACTGCGCAGCTACCTTGGCTTGCAGATCACCCGGGACAGAGCACGCCGCACCATCACACTGACTCAGTCACACATGGTGCAGCAGGTCCTTCAGCGCTTCGGCTTCACCTGGTCCTCAGTACAGGCCACTCCTCTGGCTACAGGTCACTCGCTCTCAGCTCCACCTTCGGACGAGTCCGTAGAGCCGAGTGGTCCTTACCCAGAGCTAGTGGGCTGCCTCATGTACCTGATGACGTGCACACGACCTGACCTTGCGTACCCTCTTGGCCTTCTGGCTCGCTACGTGGCTCCTGGTCGGCACCGAAAGGTGCACATGGATGCTGCTAAGAGGGTACTGCGCTACTTGTGCAGTACATCGGGCATGGGGCTCGTGCTTGGAGGACGGGGCGACGTTGTCCTCACTGGTCACTCAGACGCTTCTTGGGATGACGACCAGGCTACGCAGCGGTCGTCACAGGGTTACACCTTCAGCCTTGGCTCTGGTTCAGTTTCTTGGCGTTCTACACGCTCGTCTTCAGTTCTCAGCTCTAGTTGTGAGGCTGAGATCTACGCCACAGCCATGGCTGCACAGGAGTTACGCTGGCTCACCTACCTGCTGACCGACTTGGGAGAGCGGCCTCGTTCTCCTCCAGTGCTGTACGTTGACAACAAGGCCGCCATTGCCTTGTGTCAGGAGCACAGACTGGAGCACAGAACGAAGCACATCGCTCTGCGTTACTTCTTGGCTCGAGAGTTGCAGCAGTGTGTAAGAAGCTGCAACGGGAGCAGCCACAAGCCTCTGAAAAAAAAAAAAAAAAAAAAAACCAGAGAATAAGAGCAAGAGAGAGAAAGAGGGAAACAAGCGAGAGAGAAAACTACGAAGGGAGGGAGTTTTTGTTCCCACTAAGCCAGGAGCCCGAGACGCAAGGCAAGGTTTCCATGGTCTTAAGAAGGGGACGGCAGCAAGGACGGCTATCCAACGAATCTGGAGAACGGCAAGCATGATCATGCAAAAAAAAAAAAAAAAAAAAAGAGGGGGAAGGAAGGAAGAGCGCGAGCGAGATGTTCACCGTGATGAGCTCACCGAGCAAAAGAAGGAGCTGCCCTACGAGCACCACATGTTAGGCACAGGGCGGAACACCCAAGTGCATGCAATCAGGCAAAAGGACTCATGAAAAAAAAACAAAAAAAAATCAACCACAACAACGAGAGAGAAAGGAAGAGAGAGAAAAAGAGAGAGCGAGAGTGAGAACCTCACGGGGGACCTACATTGCCGCATACCTTGCTTAACGAAGCATGTCCCATGCTGCCCCGAACCCCATGGTCCACAGATACACCGGGTATCGGCTCGATGGTTGAGTATGACCCGTACGAGATCGCGATCACCGACAAGCTCGTCACGACCATGCGCGGACGCCTGCGCGCAGCATTTCCTTGGTGGAGCTCATGGTGCGAGAGTAGCTTCATACTCTCGGTGGTTTTAAATGGCTATTGGATGCCATGAAAGCATGGGCCCCCCACGCCGTTTCAGAAAGACAACCACGCGGGAGCACTAATCCACTCAAAGTTCACCAAGCAGGCCATAATCGAGCTCCTTGATAGTGGTGCGGCCATTATCGCCCCCGGATCCCAGCAGCTCTGCATCAGTCCACTAAATGTGGTGGTTCAAAGAGACAAGTGCCGACTGATTCTTGACCTCAGAAGAGTAAACCAAAATCTGAGCATCCCCAAATTCAAGTACGAGGGATTGAAACGGGTGGCGGAGCTCGTCAGCATAGGCGATTGGATGTTCGCTGTCGACCTCAAATCAGGATACCACCACGTCGACATCCATCCGTCATGCTGGAAGTACCTGGGATTCCAATTCGACGGGCGCTCATACGTCTTTCGGTCCCTCCCTTTCGGCCTCGCGACGGCCCCATTTGTATTCACGCAACTTATCAAGCAGCTCGCCGCCGCTGGCGGGCCCTCGGGGTACGAGTCATCCCGTACGTTGACGACATCATATTTTTGTGTCACACGGAAGCAGAGGCTCGAACTACGTGTCAGATGGTGGTGGAGGACCTCAACAAGGCGGGGCTAGTCATTAATTCTAAGAAGTCGCATCTCCAACCCACCCAGCAGCTGCGCTTCCTGGGTGTCGAACTGGATACTAAGCATGGCCAGTTCTCCATTGGTCCCGAGCGGCGTACATCGTTACGCTCGACCATTCAAGAACTTTGCATGGCAGGCAGAGCCAAGCGCAAGGTCCCGATCCGCCATGTAGCGAGGGTCACTGGCATGCTCGCTTCGATGTCACTTGCCATCGGCGCAACTGCGCGGGCATTTAGCCAGAACCTGCTGCAGACCATTCAGGAGGCCGCTTCATGGAACAACAAGGTGCCATTAGTCCCCGCCGTAATCGAGGAACTCGAGTTTTGGCTGCAAGAATTCGACAACTTCAATGGCGCCTCCTTCCACGTCCCGAGCAGCTACGACGCAGTGATCCATGTGGACGCCAGCGCACACAGTTGGGGAGCCACACTAGACACGTTCCCGGGAGGGCGAACCGAGGCGAATGCAGCAATGCCCGAGCATCTCACAAGGACCTCGAGCACGCAACGAGAAATGGAAGGAGTTCTATGGGCTCTCCAAACGTTCGCGGGAGGGATCCACAACCGACACGTCCTAGCCAGAACTGACAACCAAGGCGTATTCTTCATTCTTCGCAAAGGCGGCTCTCGAAGCCCTAGTCTCACCACAACATGCAGAGCCATTATTCAAACGTGCATGGCCTCGAGGATTCGCCTGACGGTCGAATGGATCCCACGCGAGCTCAACACACGAGCGGACGAACTCTCCAAGATGATCGATCGAGATGACTACTCAAATAAAGCACCGTGGTTCCGCCTCATTGAGCGGCGTTTGGGACCGCACTCCATCGATCTATTCGCCAATGCAAGCAACACACAGTTAGCCCGCTTCTGTTCCAAAACACCTCACCCGGACGCAGAGGCTACCGACGCCTTCTCAATATCATGGAACGCTGAGCACGGTTATGCTTTCCCACCACCACACCTCATCCCAGCAGTGCTTCACCACGCCCAACGGACGCGAGCATCGCTCACGCTCGTAGTGCCTCATTGGCCAGGGGCAAGCTGGTGGCCGTTGCTACAAACCACCCCACCGAAGTGGGCCCCTTGCATTCGCGCTCACATCCACCTCACCCATGGGAGTCAGTGCCTCACCGCGGGCACCCACACTTGTGCCTTCTCTGGCGAAGGAATGCCTCATAGCCCTATTCTCGCTTTACGAGTGTCGTTCGCTACCTGACCTCTCACGAACCTGGTGCAGGATTACTTGAGAGGCTCAAGCAAGAATTGCTCCGTATAACTGCGCAAACACGGGCCGACTCTACGATTCGCACCTACGAGCCGTACTGGGCCAAGTTCCGCACGTTCTGCCAACGAGTCAAGCTACAGTTTCTGCCATGGACAGACATGACGCTCGCGTTATACCTGGTCCATGCGATTCAGCAAAAAGCCACAGTATCAGTGATACAACTGACATGCTCGACAGTCAGCTTCGCACATCGGATGATCGGGGCCCCGTGCCCATCAACTGGGCCGTTCACATCCCAAGCGCGGGAATTCGCCAAGCGACATTGCCCGCGCCCCCGATGACTCAAAGAGCCCATCTCTTTGCACCAAGTCCACGAAATGGCGTCGGAATACCTGGAGTCAAACAACCCCGGCGAGTTCCAGAAGGGACTTATCCCAATCCTAATGTACGCCGGCTTTCTACGCTACTCGGACCTCGTCGAAATTAAGTGGCACGACATCCAGTTCGAGGAAGACGCCATGTGGCTCTTTATTCCCCGCTCAAAGACTGACCAGGCAGGAGAAGGTGCATGGGTTCCAGTAGCAGCAAGCTCAGGTCCCTTCTGCCCCGTACGGTGCACCAAGCGCTTCATCCAATTGGCGGGATACAACCATGCACAAAGAGGCCCGCTCATACGAGTTTTCGGTCAAGACACCACGAGTCTCGGCACAGCCGCCACTTCACCATCCTACACAACAATCCGCAACTGGTGCAAGGAGGCATTCCAAAAGATCGGCTTAGGTCTCGAGCATCTCGGCACCCACTCTTTTCGCAAAGGCGCAGCCACTGCCGCCGCCAACTCAGGAGTACCAGATCGCTTTTTGAAACAGTTGGGACGGTGGCGCAGCGATACTGCCAAGGAGATGTACATCATCCCGGCGGTCGATCAGCTGGTCGAAGCGTCTCGACACGTTCAAGACCCAGCACGAGCCTCGTCACCAGTGCAACACTCAGCGGCTCTGATGCGACGACGACAACCTCCACTGCACATGTCTCAGAAGACCCATTTGAAATGAGACGATGCCATTGCTACATGAAAGAAAGCAAGCTTTCTAAATATGAATATTTTTAAAAGTGTAACGCTTTTCAAAATTTCGTATTTTGAAAGCGAAGCAGTCTGTAATGTAGGAATGGGCAGCGACGAACCGCGCTAAACGCCCGTTTTGGAGTACAAAACGTGGGCTGGAGGTCATTTCCCTCCACCCACGTCTCTCATTTTCAAACGGTTTAGCCGATTTTCCCGCCCACCCACCCCTTGAAATGTGTTAGCACATTAGTCTGATAGGTTGCTTGGATTTCAAATTGTACTAAACCCATTTGAAATGAGACGATGCCATTGCCATTTGAAATGAGACGATGCCATTGCTACATGAAAGAAAGCAAGCTTTCTAAATACAGCCATTTTTGTCCCGCTTTCCTCCCTTCCAAATGTTCCACATCCACCCAGCGGCCAATCTAAGCCTATTCCATTCCAAGCCTACTCTGAGCCTGAATAGAACTTTTTTCAAACCTCAGCCTGGCCCGGTCCAGGCCGGGGCAGACCAAGAGGCCGGGCGGATGTCCTTGGGCCGCGTGCCTTCATTGTCCGGGCGGCATGGATCGGCACCATTCTCAAGCAGAAGGTCAGCAATAGATTCGTGCTCGCACACTGTAGCGTAGTGCAGGGGAGTCTGACCCTCATCGTCCTGATTGACGAGGTGGGGGAGGGGGGAATGTGGGCGAAAGAAGGAGACAGGGAGCATCGGCAAGTGATTCAGGCTCGCACACCATAGCATAGTGCAGGGGAGTCTGGCCCTAATCGTCCTGGTAAAATGAAGGTACGGTAAAATGAAGGTACGGTAAAATGAAGGTACGGTAAAATGAAGGTACGGTAAAATGAAGGTACGGTAAAATGAAGGTACGGTAAAATGAAGGTACGGTAAAATGAAGGTACGGTAAAATGAAGGTACGGTAAAATGAAGGTACGGTAAAATGAAGGTACGGTAAAATGAAGGTACGGTAAAATGAAGGTACGGTAAAATGAAGGTACGGTAAAATGAAGGTACGGTAAAATGAAGGTACGGTAAAATGAAGGTACGGTAAAATGAAGGTACGGTAAAATGAAGGTACGGTAAAATGAAGGTACGGTAAAATGAAGAGGCAGGGACTCACAGCTTCAGCACCATGAGCCAACAGACGCTGAGTCATGCCCAGCTTGACCCTTTTTGTGTCATTTGAAAGCAAGGAGGGGACTTAGAGGGGAGAAGGGGGAGAAGCGGGGAAGATGGGGGAAGTGGGGGAAGTGGGGGAAGCGGGGGAAGGGGAGTTTTGAGAGACCCAGGTGGGGAAGCAGTGACTTGACTTACAGTTTGGCTGACATCAGCACCATGAGCCAGCAAGCACCGAGTCATGCCTAGCTTTCCTCTGTCTGCCGCCCAGTGCAGCGCCGTCCGGCCTTCGTCGTCTGGTAGTGGGAGAGACAAACACAGAAGAGAGACTTTAACGGCAGCGGTGATTAAAAAAAAAAAAAGTGTACATGCACACTGTCAGTCATATATACATTGCCGCCCACTCCACATTCACCACATCAAACCGCTCTATCGCATCACACCACACTGATGGACCACATGCCACCACTCTACACCGAATCTCACCTCTCTGTTCCAGAGCCTCTGGGTGCTCCTTTATCCATTCCTCCACTGCTGACGTTTCCTCCACGTCAGCACTCGCCAATGCATGCAGGCGACTGGAAAGGGGGTTGGGGAAGGAAAGGGGGAAGGGGGAGAGGGGAGGGGAAAGGGGAGGGGAAAGGGAAGGGGCATGTTACAGTCAAAAGGACTTTGAATTGCCTCAGAAAAGGGGTTAAGAAGGGGAAGGAAACGGGGAAACATAGAGGGGAGGGGGGAACGGGGAGGGGAAAGGGGAAATGTCACAGCTGGACGGATGCAGGAGGGGCAGGACGGGAGGGGAAGATGTGGGAAAGCGAGTGTGGACCGGAAGGAGACTGAAGAACGATAGGGAGCGGGAGGAAGGGCGAGAGAGGATGCGGGGAGGAAGAGAGGATTAAGAAAAAAAGTGACAGAGGAAATGCAAAGCACACTCACCCAAACCCAGAACCACTGCTGTCTGCTGCCGCCGTTCCACCCTCTCCCCCTCCCCCATCCTCCCCCACCTTCCCCCCCTCGCTCTCCTCCCCTCCTTCCGCCATCAGCATCGTACTCACCCCCCTCCCTGCCCCTCCCCCTCCGCTTCCCCCTCCCCCTCCCCCTTCTCTGCCCTTCGATCCCTGAGAGGAAGACGATTGGAAAAGGGATTGGATGCATAAGGTAAGCTTTGACTTTGACTTGAAAATCTTTGACTTGAAAATCTTTGACTTGAAAATCTTTGACTTGAAAATTTTGACTTGAAAATCTTTGACTTGAAAATCTTTGACTTGAAAATCTTTGACTTGAAAATCTTTGACTTGAAAATCTTTGACTTGAAAATCTTTGACTTGAAAATCTTTGACTTGAAAATCTTTGACTTGTTCTAAAGGTAAGGTGGGGGGCGGGTAACCATGTCCTCAATAGTTCTCACAAGCCCTTCCCACACCCGCTGCCCTTCCCACACCTGCTGCCCTTCCCACACCCGCTGCCCTTCCCACACCCGCTGCCCTTCCCACACCCGCTGCCCTTCCCACACCCGCTGCCCTTCCCACACCCGCTGCCCTTCCCACACCCGCTGCCCTTCCCACACCCGCTGCCCTTCCCACACCCGCTGCCCTTCCCACACCCGCTGCCCTTCCCACACCCGCTGCCCTTCCCACACCCGCTGCCCTTCCCACACCCGCTGCCCTTCCCACACCCGCTGCCCTTCTCACCATGCTATTGCCTCCTGTTACATCGTGCAGCGATCTTCCACACACACACCCCCAACATACAGCTCACCTCATCGCATGCATTTGGAATCCTCTGCTTCACCAACCCCAAATACTCACTCGCGCCCCACACCTTTGAAGCATGTGTGCGTCGCGGAGAGAGAAGCAAACCATGCCATGCCCGCACATGCTGCTCACCTCATGGTGGTTCGGAATCATCTGCTCCACTCCACCAGCCTCACATACTTCACTGTGCCATCGCCCCCCCCTGACTCATGCTGCAATACACCACCCTTGATGATGCATCCCTTACGACGCACATACCCCACATGCTGCTCACCTCATGGTGGTTCGGAATCATCTGCTCCACTCCACCAGCCCCACAGACTGCGCCATCGCCTCGTCCTGACTCATGAAGAGACATGCGCCACAACGCACTAGCGGTGTACACACACCCCCGCCACATGCCACAAGCTTCTCACCTCATTCGGATTCGGAATCATCTGCTCCACTCCACCAGCCCCACATACTGCGCGCCATTGCCTCCCTATGCCTCACGCTGCCATCGTGCCATATACCCTCTCATATGCATGCATGCATGCTTCTCACCTCATTGGGGTTCGGAATCATCTGCTCCACCAGCCCCACATACTGCGCCATTGCCTCGTCCTGACTCATGCTCCCCAGCTTCTTCCACGCGTCCCTGTAACAGGACAACAGTAACGCGTACAGGAACAAATCACTCAGACACATGGCAAGCCACAAAATCTGACTTGTTATTTTCCGTCGGCAAGCAGAGCATATGAGGGGGAAAAATGCTCACTCAACGTTTGGCTCACCGTGAAACTGTACATGGCGTCCTGTTTGCAGTGCTAGTGCTGTTACCGTTTATGTTTCTCGTTTCTTCAAGGCAGCAGGAGAAAAAAATAGGACGGATGCTCACTCACCATTTGGCCCGTGCCTTGAAGCTGTACACGGCAGGCTGTTTGGTGTCGCACGGCCCGTCGCTCGCTTGCTTGTACAGCCCGTACAACAGCAGCTGCAGCCCGTGTGTCATTCCTCAACAGAGACTCGCCATTTGGCTCGCGCCTTGAAGCTGTATACAGCAGGCTGTTTAGTATCACAAGGCCCGTCGCTCGCTCGCTTGTACAGCCCGTACAGCAGCAGCTGCAGCCCGTGTGTCATTCATTGCCAGATTTTCACACGCCTCCTTAGCAACTGACTCACCACTTGGCTCGCGCCTTGAAGTTGTACACGGCAGGCTGTTTGGTGTCGCACGGCCCATCGCTCGCCTGCTTATACAGCCCGTACAGCAGCAGCTGCAGCCCCTCTCCAATCCTCAGGTTTCCAGTAGCCGCCATCGTCGTCACCAAAGCTGCCGCCGCCGAGAATCGATCCTCCGCCTCTGACGCCTCTATGCCCTCCCAGTCGTCGTCGCTCTCGCCGTCCCCCCCGCTGCCCTCGTCCGGGTCACGCGGAGCGGACGGCTTAGGAGCGGCAGATGGGGCGGAAGAAGCGGAAGCGGGAGGCGGAGCGGAAGCGGCGGGCGGGGCGGAAGCGGCGGAAGGTTCCGCGGAAGTCTCAGTGGCGACTGTGGCCGTCGTGGAGGCAGGGGTGGATGAAGAATCGGGAACGCGAACGGGAGAAATGGCGGAAGCTTCCGCGACACCGGGTAAAGCGTCACTAAGTGCGTCATTAAGTGTGTCTTTTAACGGGACTGGAGCAACAGATGAGTCTCCTTGCAACGGGTCTAGGTTTCCTCTGGAGACGGGAGGAGTAGCAGGAGACACTTCGACAATATCATCATCGCTAGTGTCACCATGTGCGTCACAAGCGTTGTCGTTTCCGAGCTCGCTCGGTTTGTCTTCTTCTGCCTCGTGCATCTCCACCTGATTCCATTCCTCCTCCTCTTCCTCCTCCTCGTCCTCCCCCTCTCCTTCTCCCTTCTCGTCGGTTTTCCTCGTTATAATCATCTCGCTATTTTTAAACGTGAATACAGTGTGCATGACGGTGTACAGCATCCACGCTAGTATCAGGGTGAAGAATAACGGGGACGCCACGTCCTCCAGCCATCGAAACGCCAGGGTGACACCCCCCGCACCCGCCATTGCTGATGTGTCTCACAGTGAGTTTCAAAATCAGGCTGCAATAATCGTGGCAGTTCTTCGCAGTAACGAAGGAATACTGAATAAAAGGAAATTCCAAGTTAAGCTGCGTTGAAAAGGCGCGTTGCGTAAAGGCTCCAATGCCGTGGCGCGCCTTGCCGAGCAGACAGCAACGCAAGCGAAGTCGCCTCCTGAATATATCCACCGCTTCTGTTATTCGCGACAGCACAAGCGGACACTTCGAGACGGCAACCCTGCTGCCTTGAAGCTAGCGCGATAGAAGCAAAAAAATGAAAGAAATCAACAAATGTATCACTGTCGCCTGCTCTTTTAGCTAGCTTGCAGCAGGGACGAAATGGGCTTCCTCTGTGTTGCGACCGACATAAAACCACGAGTGGCTTGGGGACTCTTTGGAACTCTCACACTTCTATGTTCCACGCCTAAACATACAGGTCTTTGCGGTTAGTAATACGTAAATAACGGTAAATCATGGTTCCTAGCTGGATGAAAGGTTTTCTTGAGACACGCCTACGCCGAGCTTCCACCTGAGGTTTGGGATTGTGCAAGGAGAACCAATCTCTAGGTGGGCTGGGCGAACCTAGAGACTTCACCATACCTCAACATGGTTCAGAGTGCGCTGATAACTGATTGGATAGCTTTGAGCTTTGGATGCTTGTTGTAGACGTATGCTTGTTGGCGCGCATGCTGGGGGCGTCCTCTTTGTGTGCGTGTGCGCTAGGAGGATATCGACCAGCAATAGATAGCTTACGATAACTCTTAGTTAAGTTGATGTATATGAACGGGCAGGCGAACAAAAAATTGCGACCTCTCCTGCTACCACACATCAGGTCATGGGCCCGTGTAGCTCGCCTATTGGCTCCTTGCGGAGCGAATCAGCGCCTGATACAGAGCCTGGACGCATCGCAGGTGTGCTGGCTGACGGGGCGTCACCAGTGATTGGCGTCACTTGGGACAGGCGCCATGTCAGAATCAGGTAACTCGTTAACAGCAGCCAGCATACTGCCATAAGACGATATGATCCTAGACCTCATGGCTGCTATTTTGATTTGTCTGAATATACTGCACCTCTCTTAAGCTACACAGTTTCAGATAAGGTTGAGTGAAGTAGCAGCACAAATGTATGTGACATAGACAGGCACATTAGCTACACTATAGCGGGGATATACTAATGATTTATGTACACACAGCTGCTGCAATACATGTACCATTTACTTCACCTTGCCAGGTGCTTGTTTCTTCTTGATACTACCTTTCTCTTTTCCTGTGTTATGTTTTCCCTTGGTTCTTTTCTTTGCTACCCCTTCCCCTCGCTGCTGCTCTTGGCATTCAAGCCCATTCGCCATCACATATGTCCCATCCAAACCACAACCCTCCATTTCACCAGCTCCACCCTCCTCTCCTCCTGCTCTTGCCCCATCACCATCACCTTCAATTTCCCCATCAACCACTGTTTGCCGCAACCCAGAGACCTCATTTGCTGACCAACCACCCCCCTCTGCTTCTCCTGATGCTGCTGCTGACACAAACCGAGACTCCAGCAAAGCATCCTGGTTACAAAGCTCCGTGTTACTTGCTGCACTCTGGCAGATTGATCCGATCTCCACATGCATTCCCCTGACCAGCTCAAAAGGCACCTGACCAGGTGCCTGGAGGGCCGGCCAAGAAACATCACCAAGCACCTGAAACGGCACCTGAGACGGCACCTGGAACGGTGGCAGAAACGGCACCTGAAGAGGAGCCTGAAGGGGGACGGAAGACCCATGGGAGGTCTGCAACTGTAAAGGAGGAGTGTGCACCTGGGTCTGAAAGAAGGGGAGCTGGTGTAAGATCCAAGCTAACTGTACTGGGTGAGGCATGGCATGAGGAACAACGTGTGGTAGGGCATTTGCAGATTGATACACCATGAAACTCTCTGGTGATGGGTTGCCTGCTTGCTCCCTCTCCTGAGCTTCATCCAATGCTGCCGTTGCTGGTGCGGTTGCTGTTGCCGCAGATGCTGCTTCTGATGTGTGTGCCTGTCCATCTAATATCTCTGCACTTGCATGTCCTCCTCTTGTTAACCCCTCTGCTTCTCCCTCTGTGTTTGCCTCTGCATTCCCCTGCATTGCTACTTGTGCTAGTGCCACTGCCTCCCCCTCTCCCTCTCTCTGTGCCTGTACGGTTTCTGTTGCTGCTGCTGCTGCTACTACTGCTCCTGCTTCTGCTCCTGCTGCTGTTTGTGCTGCTTCCTGCATGGCAGCAGCAGCGGCAGCGGCGGCAGCCTCAGCAGCAGCGACAGCAGCAGCCACAACAGCAACAGGCACATCGATCAGCTGCTGCCGGTGCCGCCTCTTCCTCACCACCTTGCGCCTCAGCTGCCCAGCCTCCACTGCAAACGTCTTAACAAGCACGTCCGGGTGGAACGACACTGCACGCTGCCGTGACTGTGTGCTTGACCTTTTTGCAGCTACAGCAGCAGAGTCTACAGCTGCAGCAGCAGAGTCTGCAGCTGCAGCAGCAGTAGAGCCTACAGGGGCAGCAAAAGCAGCAGCAGCAGCAGCAGCAGCAGCAGAGCCTGCAGTGGCAGCAGCAGATTCCGCAGCAGAAGCCGGCCCTGCAGTATCAACGGCAGCAGCAACAGCTGACTCTGCCTGCTGTCCCACCTCCACTGCCAACATCTTCATCTGCACCTCCTCTTGCTGCTCCTCCCTCATCCCCTCTTGCTGCTCCTCCCTCATCCCCTCTTGCTGCTCCTCCCTCATCCCCTCTTGCTGCTCCTCCCTCATCCCCTCTTGCTGCTGCTCCTGCGCTGCAGTATCCACCTCCCTTATCCCCTCTTGCTGCTGCGCCTGCGCTGAACTATCTGCCTCCCTTAAACCCTCTCCCTCCCTCATCTCGCCCTGCTGCTCTCCCCACCTACGAGCCAACTCTGTTACGAGCGATTCTTGAGTCAACTCGCTCATGCCCCCCTGCTGCTGTGCCTGCCTCTCCCATTGCTGCTGCACCTGCCTCTCCCCCTGCTGCTCTCCCCGCCCACAGGCCAACTCTGTTACAAGCGCAGCCAACGCTCTCACTTCACTACTGCTCGTGCGCAGCTTCCCCGCACCTTCCTCCTGACCAGCCTCCACTGCAGCTGACTCTCCAATCTCCGTATTTCCTACAACATTGGATTTGTAGAGAGGGGGAGAGAGGGAGGGATCAAGGGTCCCAGCTCCTTCCCCCTCACCATCCCCTGCCGCTGAGTCTCTCACAGCTTCTTCACTCTGAATAACCCCCTCTGATGATCGTTCCCCAGCCCCTGTGAGCGATTTTTGGGAATTCTCAAAAACCCCTCCTGGTGATCCTTCCGCAGCCAGTGTTTCCAGCCCATTTCCCGAATTCCCTGCTGTACTGCTGCCTTCTGTGTTTGAGCCACTTTCAAGAGTTCTCAAAACTGCTGCTGATTCTCCCCTAGCTCCTGCCTCCGATCCATTTTCCACTACTCCTGTAGGGCTCCTGTCTTTGATAATGGTGGCACTATTTTCTGATTCTTTTGCTGCACTGCCTTCCTCTCCCTGGGTGGCCAATTTCTCATGTGCGAGAATAGAGGTCGTTGCAGTGGTTGTGGCAGTGGTTGCTGCAGCGGTTGTAGCAGTGGCAGTAGCAGCAGTTGTCCCCCCAGCATCCACCTTCCCTGCACTCGCCCTCCCCTTCTTCCCTGTTGCCTTCACCCCACCCACTTTCTCTTTTTCCTTCACCTTCTCCTTTCCTTTCTCCTTCTCCTTCTCCTTCTCCTTTTGCTTCTTAGGCTTGCGTGGGCTCTTGATGCCTTTCTCCCTTGCACGACCTTGTATCGCAGCTGCCTTTAGTGGGGACAAAGCTCTTGAATCCCTGCCACCTTGTAGCGCATCTGCCTGTAGCGGGGATAAAGCCAAGGTCTCTTCACCAGCTTGTAACGCATCCACTTGTTGCAGGGCGGATGCCAGTGCCTCTTTATTGCCTTGTAATGCATCAGCCTCTAGTGGAGTACCAGATTCTACCGCCTCTTCCCCTGCCTCTTCCCCTGCCTCTTCCCCTGCCTCTTCCCCTGCCTCTTCCCCTGCCTCTTCCTCTGCCTCTTCCCCTGCCCCTTCCCCTGCCCCTGCCTCTGCCCCTGCCTCTGCCCTTTCCCCTGCACCTCCCTTAGCTACTTCTAAGCTTGGACGGTCAGCACGCCCTCCTTGCTCCACATTTCTTTGATCTTCAACGAAAACAGACCCTTCTGTCGTTCCCTCCTCTCCATCCCCCTCCTCTCCTTTCCCCTCCTCTCCTTTCCCCTTCCCTCTTTTCCCCTCCTCTTCTTTCCCCTCCTCTCCTTTCCCCTCCTCTCCTTTCCCCTTCTCTCTTTTCCCCTCCTCTTCTTTCCCGTCCTCTCCTTTCCCCTCCTCTCCATTGATCTTCCTCCCCTCCCCTTCACCCTTCTCCAGACCCATCGCAGCCATATCTGAGAAGAGGAAAGCCCTGTCCTCAGGCTCCTCAAAAGCCGTGTCTGAGAAGAGGAATTCCCGGTCCTCAGGAGCTCCCATAAATATGTTGAACACACTGCTGCGACTGGGAGTGCTGCCGGTGCAGCTGCTGCTGCGGCTGTAAGTGCTACCGGTGCTGCTGCTGCGGCTGTGAGTGCTGCTGACATCGCCGCTGGTGGTGCTGCTGCAGGAAATAGACGAGACTGAAGGAGAGGAGTGGGAAATCATATCAGAATGCTTGGGACGAGGAGAATCACATTCGTTCCAAGTCCTGGAGCTACCACCGGTGTCACGGTCAGCTCTAGCTGCAGCAGCAGATGCATCTCGCTCAGCATCAGCGTTTGCAGAAGAGTCAGCAGCACCAGCACCGCCAGTACCAGCACCGCCAGCAGCGTTTATCAGCTTCCCAGTTTTCCTTTGTGTAGCAGCACCCTGGTGATGCTGCCTGTGCTGCCGTCCCCCTGCTGTGCGCTCCACAGCAGCCAAACCAGCAGCAGGGGAGGAAGCAGGAGAGTGGTGAGGGGGGCGAGAAGACAAGGAGGAGGAAGAGGAGGAAAGCGGTGAAGAGGAGAAGTTGGAAGAAACTACCAGCTGTAGAGGCGCCTGCTGTCAGAAGGAGGATAGGGTTGGGATAAGATCCCGAGGACATGTGGAAAAAAAACAAAAACAAAAACAAAACAAAAAACCCACACACACACACACAAGGAAAAAAGGGAGGGGTGGGAGCATTTAAAATGTTTCTGAACCAGACAAAGCAGGGAGAAAGGAACACCAATCGATGGGAAAGGAGTTAAAGCGGATACAGACGGCACGGTGTCAGGAAATTTCTGGACAGATACCTAAACCTGACCCGAAACATGGAAGACAAAACTTTGAACCTGACCCAAAACATGGAAGACAAAACTTTGAACCTGACCCGAAACATGGACGACAAAACTTTGAACCTGACCCAAAACATGAAAGCCAAAACTTTGAACCTAACCCCAGATAAGGAAGTGAAAACCATAAACCTGTCCCGAGACACGGAAGTCGGAACCCTAAACCTGACCACCCAAGGCAGAAACTGAAAACCCAAAATCCGGAAGCTGAAAGGTGAACCCCGACCAAAACCCAGTACCTCAAACCCAAAATTAAAAAGCATGACACTATCCTTTCGTCTGAAGACAAGGGGCTTGGAATGGGCTTTACCTTTTTAGCCTTCCCTTTCCCTCTCTTCGACTGAGGCGGGGTCGTCGCCAGCCTCTCCTTCTCCTCCCCAGATGAGGGATTCCTTAGCAATCCCAGATATTTCTGCTTGTCTTTTTCCTCCCCCAACTCAGAGCAACCCTCCACACCCCCCTCCACACCCCCCTCCTCCCAACCACACTCAGTCACACCCACTAATTCCAGTTGCACCCTTGTTGTTGTGCCATTGTGACGAGGTGAATCTTGAGTCAGCTCAAGAAGATCACCCTCCTCCCAGCTACACTCCATCACACTCACTCCTCTTCCCATCACACTCACTCCTCTTCCCATCACACTCACTCCTCTTCTCACACCAGCCCTTCCTCCTCCTAGTCCAAGCCCCCCCAGACCCATCGGGGCTCGCGACCCAATATCCCCTTTAATGGCAGTCCCGTTTTTGGAGACAATTCTCTTCTTAGAAGCAGCTGCAGTATCGTCCTCCGTGTCCTTAAGCGCCTGTATTTGAAGGCTACTATCATCAAATGGTTCACTATACGCCACCTCAGTATCACCATAAACAGTTTCACCAGAAGCAGCATCATCAGAACCCATACCGACAGCACCACCAGCACCATCACCAGAACCATCATCAGCATCATCAGCAGCAGCAGCAGCATCAGCAGCACCCAAAACAGAATCTCTGTCTTTGCTGTTCATCTGCTTCTTCTTTTTCAAACCCCCCTTCCCCTTCCCCACCCCCTTCCCCTTTCCTGCCCCCTTCCCCTTCTCCACTCCCTTTGATTTCCCCGTCAGCTTATCTTTGGCCTTTCCCCCGTCTGCTTCCTTCCCACACCCTTCCGAGATGGACACCCCTCCATCAACACTGTTCATGCTGCCAAAACTACTGTTCATGATGCTGGCAGCAGTGGTAACGGGTGGCAAGGGCTCGTCTTCTTCTGCCACAATGATGCACTGCAGCACCCTGGCCGGCGGGAAGGCCTCATCCAATGAGGTGACAGCACCATAAAAACCAGCATTCCCACTCCCACTTTCATTCCCACTCCCACTTTCATTCCCACTCCCACTCCCACTCCCACTCCCACTCTCATTCCTGTTCTCATTCTCACTCCCGCATACATTCTCAGTATCATTCACCTTCTCCCACTCACTCTCATCCTCTTCCCTCTCACTCCTCTCCCGCCTGCTTCCACCATCCTCCCCACAACCCTTTCCCTTACTCCCGTCTACCATTTCCACTCCTCTCCCCACTCCGTCCTCCTCCCCTCTTCCCTTTCCTCCTTTCCCAGCCCTTGCCAACAGCGGCAGCAGCCCCCCATCTCCTCCCCCCATCCCTCTCGGTTCCCCCATCCTTGGCCCTCCCCCCATGCCTACCCCTCCCCTCTTCCCTACCCCTCTTCCCCCCAACGGCAGCAGCCCTCCGACTGCTCCTTCCCCTCTCCCTGCTTCCCCATCTCCTCCTCCCCCTCTCCCTGCACCTCCCCCCAGCCCTGCCCCTTCCCCTATCCCTGCCCCTCCCCCCAGCCCTGCACCTCCCCCCATCCCTCCCAGCAGTGCTGCCCCCCGCGAGCACAGCAGCTGGAAAAACATCTCCTCGTGGCTTGCACGCCAGCTGTCGCTCAGCGATTGGATGCGGGCAATGCTGGGAGGAGGGGCGTGCACAGTAAAATGCTCTCCGCCAGCAGCTGTAGCAGTGGTGGCTGTAGCAGTGGCGGCTGTAGCAGTGGCGGCTGTAGCAGTGGCGGCTGTAGCAGTGGCGGCTGTAGCAGTGGCGGCTGTAGCGCTCACGGCAGTCTGAACGCTGCTGGCACCTTGTCCCTCTTTCTCTCCCTTGCCTGCTTTCGCACCCGCTTTCACTGCTGCACTGCCCCTGTCGCCCTCCTTATTCCCCTTTCCCCCCTTTTTAAGAACGCCCTTTCTTTTAGTCACGGCTGCAGCTTTAGTGCTTTTCTTCCCAGCGCCCTTGCATTTAGCAACATCAGCTTCAGTCACATCTGCAATTGCCACGTCAGCAACAGCCACATCGTCATCAACAACAGCCACATCAGCACCACATACATCAGCAGCAGCCGCTGCTGCTACATCCACTGCAAACGAAACAGGCCCTGCTACATCTGGTCCTATACCTGCTGCTACAGACCCTGCTACATCCGGTCCTATACCTGCTGCTACAGACCCTGCTACATCTGGTCCTGTACCTGCTGCTACATGCGCACCTACACGCCCTACTACATCCGCTGCCACAGCTGTTGCTACAGGCGATGATACAGGCGATGCTACAGATGGTGCTGCCTCTGTTTCTGCTACAGGCGATGCAGCAAACGCTGCTACTCCTGCTGCTGCTGCAGATGATGCTACAGATGTTGCTGCCACCGGTTCTATACAAGGCAACTCAGGGGCTGCCTCACATGCTGCTTGCGAATGCCCAGTATCCTGCGCAGTTTCAAAGCTATCCCTTGAAAGAACTGCATGGTAGCTGCTACTAAGTGGAGCAGTTATAGCTTCAAGTGTAGGTCTGTGCAGTGTAGGCTGTTCTTGAGGCTCCTCAAGAACAGATGTACAAGCCGTAGCTTCAAGTGCAGGTCTCTGCCGTGTGCCAGGTGCATATGGTTCTTGAGGCACCTCGAAAATTGTCTCCTCGCACGGGAGGGTTTGGTTGTCGCTAACAGATGGAAGGGCTATGGCTTTAAGTGCAGGTCTCCGCAGTGTAAGAGATGCTGATGATTCATTGTCACACCCTGCTGCTGGCTCTGCTAGAGATGATGCAAAAGCCTCTGCTACAGGCTCTGCTGCAGATGCTCCTACAGGCTCTGCTACAGACGCTGCTACAGGCTCTGCTGCAGGCTCTGCTGCTACAGTCTCTAGTACAGCTGTTGCTACAGGTGTGGCTACGGTCTCTGCTACAGGTTTTACTACAGTCTCCACTACAGGTGCTGCTTCAGATACTGCAATGGGTGCTCCCACATGTTCTGAGTCATTGTCACATTTCACATCCAATCCTGCACTAGTCTCCACAACATCTGCCCCTCTCTCCTCCAATGCAGCTCCATACCCCCCCTCCCCTTTTCCCTCCCTCTCCCCCTCCCCCTCCCCCTCCCCCTCCCCCTCCCCCTCCCCCTCCCCCTCCCTTTCCACTTCCCTCTCCCCCTCCCCTTCCACTTCCCTCCAAACTCTCTCCCCGCCCTTCCCACCCGCCCGCTCCTCCCTCCTCTTCATCCTCTCCTCCCTCCTCTGCTTCTCCTTTCTCGCTCGCTCCTCCCTTTTCTTCCCCTCCTTTATAAGCATCTCCTGCCGCTTCATTATAATCTCCTGCTTCGCTAGAGCTGCTTCCAGCTCACACGCCATCTGTTTTTTCAACCTGCCCGCTTCAAACCTCTCCTCCAATCCTGTATCTTCCACTCCCGACAGAGCAGAGCCAGGCAGCCCTGCTACACACTCCACAGCACCCAAACCCACCCTCTTAGCCCCATTCCCTTCTACTCCCTTCTCCTTACCATATCTACTCTCCCCCTCTTCATGCCTCTCTTCTTCCCTCCATATGCCCGCCAGAGCAGAGGCAGGCGGCCCTGCAACACACTCCACTCCACTCACACTAGCTCTTCTCACACCCCGGTTCTCCTTGCCGCTCGTGCCATCCTCCTCCACCCTCTCATCCTCCCCCCTTTCCCCCTCCCTGCTTTCCTCCTCCCACCTCTCCTCCGCCCTCCACATACCCGATAGAGCAGAGGCAGGAGGTCCTGCAACGCACTCCACCGCACCGAACCCCACTCTCTTCCCCTTCCCCTTCTGCTTCTGCTTCACCCCTTCCTCCTTCAACGTCCCCTCCTCCTTCCCCACCTCCTCCTTGCCTCTTCCCTCCTTTCCCCTGGCCTCCTCCTTGCCCCTCCCTTCCTTCCCAGGAGCAGCACCACCACCAGGCATCAGAGACAGTGAGAGAAATTTAGGGGGGCGAAGGAGCCTAGGGGCATGGAGAGAGCTTCTATTAAATCCCAGGAAGGGAAGCACGGAGCCTGGCGCCTCTGTAACCATACCGTGATGGTTACCAGCCGCAGTCTGGTTACCACCCGTTTCTCCGGCCGTAAGAATAGACCCAACTGCACCAAACGAAGAAGGCGCAGCAGCAGGAACAGGCAATCCAGCGGCCGCCAGTATCCTCTCACCCCCTGCTACACCTACACCCCTTGATCGGTCCCTGTCTAAGCCCTGTGAGCCCTGTGAGACCTGTGAGCCCTGTGGGTGGGGAAAGACCTGTGATGGCCTGGGGTTGGTGGTTGGGATATGGTTCGAGCTGGTTGGCTGGGAAGAAGCAAGGAAGCTTCCTTCTTGAGGCAATGACACAAACCGGCTCTCCTGAAACTGGGCGGAAGCTTCTTGCTGCTGCTCCCTCTGCTGCTGTTTTTGGCGAGAGTCTTCTTTTTCCTGCCCGTAGAGATTGTTGGGCAGCTTGGAAAATAGCTTAGCCATGAGCTGGTGTTTGTGGCTGTGGCGTGCAGTGGGGGTGCGTGAGCCGTTCTGTGCAGTGCTGTGGGGGATGGGAGGGTCTGATATGAATGCTGCTGTGTGGAAAGAGGAAATCGGTGGAGAAAGGTTGAAATGGTGGTGTGATGAGACAGCGGAAGATGAGAGGGAAGGGTAGGATCTTCTTGAAGGTGGTAGTGCTGATGCTGATGGTAGTGCTGATGCTGATGGTAGTGCTGATGCTGATGGTAGTGCTGATGTTGACTGCAGTGGTGAATCTGCAGTGGTGATCCCTCTGCTACCAGCAGTGCCGCTGACGCCCGAATTTTTCTCCGGGCAGCTCAAAGGAATTGATGCTAAGCTGAGGTTCTCCAGGTAGCTCGCCTCCCAGATCTTTTCAACGTCTGCCCGGTGTGTCGGGAGCATTCCTCCTGCCCGAGAAAACGCCATATGGACCGGTCTGACTGCCCGACCATCCGCAGTCATCACACCCCACGCTTGGGCAGCATTCCGGGCAGCGTTAAACGATGTTTGTGGGGGCGCAAGCTGCCCAGAAAGCTCGAAAGAAACAGGAGAATCGCCATGTTGAATCTGATCGCAAGTCTGCAGCCAATTACGTACACTATCCACCGTGCCAGGCGCTTTAGCTTCTAACTCCTGTACATCTTTAATCTCCCCAGATACCCTTGACCATTCCACCTGCTCCCCCATGTGTCCCGATTCATGCTCCACCTGCTGCTGCTGCTGATTATGAAATTCTGAAACTGCACAGGTCACTAGTTTCCACGAAATTACGTCAGGAGCTGTATCCCTCACTGTAGCGAAGGCTCCAAGAACCCTCACTATAAGAACATCCCCTGGGAGGGCTGCTGCTCCGCTGATCTCCACTGCCTGCATGGGCGCTCCTGATTGGACGGCTTGATACGGCAAAACTCCGTTGCCAGTAACAGGGTTACCAAAAGGGTGGGTAGGATTAGTGATGTTACTGAAATAGGAATCGTTACTGGCTGAAAGTTCACTGCTCCTGTTCTTGCTGCTGCTGCTTCTGCTGCTGTTGCTGCTACTGCTGACAAAACCGCTGCTGCTGGTTTGAACCCACGTCTGAGGAAGAAACCCGATATTGTAAGGTGCGTTATGGGAGTAGTGAGACGGCCTGCCATCCCGTGCAGCTATCCGCAATGGAGTAAAGTCCTCGTCAGCAGCAGGTTCCACCCGTAACCATGAGCCACGTGGCGTGGTAACCACCATATGGAGCAAAGGCGCACTGGAAGGTTCTGACCAATCGCATTCTGCCACGCTGGAAGCGTATCCCGAAACTGGTGACAGATACGAAGCTGCCAAGTCGGTCCGGCCGCTGACGTGGCATCTTGGGGAGGCGTAGAGCGGGACGTGGTGCCACGTGGACACGCCACGTCCGTCGTTATCAACAGTAATGGCACGCCACCGGAGGCTACCAGGCTTGCCGAACTGAATGATTCTTCCCATGATTGACTGACGGGCTCCCCCCTCGCGATGCTTAAATCGACTCAAGGGCACGACTGCTACACTGGTAGCACGCCAACGGCTATGATGTGACAACAACGAAAGATCCCGCTTCAGCACGCCTACGGCGCTGATGCGACAGCGTCGACAGCTTTCGGGATGACGTATCCTTGTGCTTCCGTAGCTGCTGAAACAGCATGAAACGTTTAGGCTCCGTTTGCTGCCTCAATACCCCCGTGCGGGGTGCAAGCACCGTACTACGACCTCTTATAAGTGAACGTCGCGCTCCTATAGCAGAGCATTTGCGGGGTCCTTCGATCATCGTCTGAGCCATCATGACATTTCGCGTGTCAGTTTCTAGACGAGTATCGAAAATATGAGTCAACGTGACTTTCTAGAAATGCGAAGCAGCATTTGAACTAGAAACTCTAACGACGCGCGAACCATCAACCGTTCGCTACAATGCTTTTAAGTCAGTCATTAAGAGCAGGCGAGACTATCACTTACACGAACTAGCATGGTTCGAAATAACTAGCATGGCGCGACTGACAGCAGAATCTAGAAGGTATGCGTTTGCCTCTCATTCTGCCTTGGGCTTGTCATTCAGCCTAGAAGTTGATGCGACCACTGAAGAGGAAAATCGTGGCGGGAAGGTGCTATGCTGATAACGGGGATTACATCTGCCGAAAACTACCAACCAGTCGTATACCCACAGTCTTGTATCGGGTGTTGGTGAAGTGGGACGAGAGGTCAATTTGCATATTCGTAGAACACCGGCACTGCAATAAAAACGTTGGTTAGCAGCATAGTCCCATTTAGTCTATTTCTTGGTGTATGCTGATAAATGGAAGTTAAGAAGTACAAAATGTAAAACGGTTGCATCTAGACTAGCCTTGAACGTTAGCTCTAATTTCTAGCACAGAAGACCCAAACTGTGTAGTATAACATCAATCCCATGCATGCCACAACATTAATAAGCTAACGTCACATCTGGCATCATCATTCTCCTTCAGGCCAGCATTCCCACATTCCCTAGGCCTCGGCCATTCAGCTGCAAGGGAGAATGGGTGGGTGGACGAGAGGGAAACCACATGCAAATATGAGTGAAAACGTCAGAATAATCTCCTCAAAACAAACTCCTCAAACCCTTTGTCTCCCCCTTCTCCCCACTTCCAACCTTCCTCCCCCAAGAAATAACCACTCCGTAACTGCCCTTCTTTGTGGGTAACTAGTCCCTGATCTTCCAACCACCCCCTCACATTAGTCACTTACTCGCACTTACCCTCTCGCTCTCCCATGCCTTGTAAGAGCCACTAACTCACATTATATGAGGGTGAGGATTTGGGAGGGGAGGGAGGGGGGGGGTGGGGTTAGATGTGGCACTCACTCCTCTTCCCATCACACTCCTTCATCCTGGAACATGCTTCCTCCCACTATTTTTGAGGCGCCTCAAAAATAGACTTCTTGCAACATACTTCCCCTCACTTGATTGAGGGGTGGATCCAGCACACAAAGGATAGCAAGGCACGGAGCCCAGATTCTCCCTAAAACACCACCCCAGTCTACCCTCAACTGGCCGCACCTCTGCCCCTCCCCTCCCTCTCCCCTGTCGTTCCTCACCTCATTCCCTCAACCACTTACTCACACTAGTTGGAGCAGTAGATGTGGTGCACGAAGGAAAACGATGCCCAGAAAACCCCTATTATCCACCAAACCTCCCCCCACCCACACTGCCCTAATCAGCCCTCAGCACACTCTCCCCCTCGTATTCCCCTTCGCCCCCCCTTCATTTTTGAGAAAATGTACTCAAACTTGATAAGGCAGAAGATGTAGCCCACAAACGACAGCAGTGCACAGAAGCCCCTACTCCCCTCCTACTCCTCTCCTCCCCCTCCCCTCCCCTCGCAGCTCCCTTCCCTCCTCCCCTAAGAAGCACTTACTCGCACTTAATGGAGCGGTAGATGTGGCGCACAAAGGACAGCGAGGCGCGGAACCCCACGGTGCCGAGCATGAGGAAGAAGCCGTAGCAGACGCAGGCCATGAAGCCAAAGTAAAAGGACGTCTGCATGAAGCCGGTCATGTCGGAGCGAGCGTAGTAGTAGTAGAAGCAGTAGCCAAAGATGAAGAGCGCGGTTGAACCACCGCACAGCACAGACCTGAGTGGGATGGGACATGGGGAAAGGAAAAGAGGAGCAGTCAAGAGGGGGAGGCCTTCGTGGTAGTAGCTGAAGAAACAGTAGCCGAAGAAGAAGAGAATGGTGGGGATATTGTTAGACAAAGTAGTTTTTCCTGTGTCAGCTGGATCGATTCTCGAATCAGCGATATGCTTGAGAAAACCAGGAGCCAGCAAGGTAAAAACGAGGGCGGTTGAAAGGCTGCAAGGTTAAAAGGGTTGGAGGGGTAGAAAGCTGGTGTGTTTCGTACCTCCACCACCACTCATGGTCCTCAACCGCGAGCTGGAAGTATGTGAGCGCGATCGTGATGAACGCAGTCACAATGATGAGAATGATGAACACTATAAAGAGGATGCTGTAGATCGTGTACACCTTGTGCCCCCACACGCTCGCAAAGATGTAATACAGCTCGATATAAATCGCACTGAACGGCAGGAACCCAGCCATGGCCATCTGAGGCACAGTGTGGCGATACCAGGGCAGCACCGGAATCTCCCTGGGGTACTTGGTCGTCCGGCAGGGCGCCTGGAACTCTGCGTTGCTCTTCTTGCCGGCAATGCCGCCGGCCACGAGGAGGGGGAAGGTGATGAGCGCCCAGATGAGGATGATGATGACGATGGTGCCGAAGGGCTTGGCGTTGGTGGAGTTGTAGACGATGGCGACGGTGTTGAGGAAGCAGAAGGAGATGAACACCGGTCCGCAGAACATGCACCCCGTCAGCAGAATGTTGCGCACCTGTAGGTGATCGGGCGGGGGAAAGAGAGGGGGGGAAGGGGGGGGAGGAGAGAGGCAGGGAAGAAAAGATAGAGGGGAATAGGAGAGAGGGGGAAGAGGGGTATGAATGGGTGAGGAAAAGGATGAGCGGATGAGAATGACTGGATTGGTGAGGGAAATTCGGCAGGAGTTTGATACGCCTCACGGACGGACTTGAACGTAGGGTGAAATGTTGCCCATAATAGCGCATAAAACTGCACAGAAAGCAGGTTTCTGTGCAGAGTAATCCCTGCACCGTATAGAGAACCCTTACTCGCATGTCCCTGAAACCTAATCCTAATTGGTCCAGCTGAAGGGAGTCCAACGAATACCTTAACCTGCATGGTTGCAATACCAGGATTTCATACCAAATTATTACAGATATCTTTGGTTCGTTTTCTCTGTATCCCTGGTTGGTTCAAAAATTGCATTGCACTCACCCAGTTGGTGCCCTCCATCTGCTTGTAGAAAGACGCAGCCGTGTACCCAGCAATTCCAGATGTCAGCGCATAGATCACCACCAGCGCCGTCCACAGAGCACCACGATTGTAAGGGTAAAACACCCCCACAAGAGCGAGGATGAAGATGAAAATGACC